ACACAAGCAGTAACATTTGATTCCAAATTTGAGCATTATCCAGTGAACAGTCCACTAACAGAAAAACTGTGAGAAAACTCAGTAAGCACATACAAGATTTTGATTTAACACTTAGAATTACCTATAGCTGCTGTTTTGTAGTGATAATCAAATGAAAGCTTGATGAACCATATATCACACTCCGGCACAGGATACTTTTGGAGGACATCACCGGTGCCCTAAACGTAGAGCAATATACATTAGGAAATTTTCCAATTTTAGAAAATAATTATCAAAAAAATGGTTCAAACATGACCAAACTAACCTCTCCAGCAGATTGTTCTTTCATCTTTGGTTCCCATAATAGAATTTCATTGTCAACACTCTTGAGTATTTCCAACAAAATTTATGGATCAGTACAAGTAAAATATGAGAAGACCATGTAAAAGAAAAGAAGATATCCTCAATCCATTATTAACATGTAATTTTCAACTTGAGGTAGACAACTCATGGTTAAGAAAGAAAGCTATTCTTTGCTTTTCCAGAGGTTCCCAGATTTGCTCTGATTTCCCCTCGATGAAATCAGAAGAGTAAATATCTCCCGGTAAGGAAGATAAAGCCAACCAATAATTTATACAACAGTTCTTTGCTACTAAGCTCATATAGAAGAACAGTCAGAAAAGAAAGAACTCAGGTAGAAAGCAGGTCAATGTATTCACCTTGGACAAGATAAAATCACCAAGCCATCTGTTACAGTCAACGTAGTTGTTATGGACAGAAGCTATTAACAACTGAAAGGATAAAAAGAAGGTTACAACAAGAAACCAATCAAACTTTCAGAAGAAAGAAGGCAGGGAAGGAGAGAATTAACAAGAGTTACTCACTGGAAACTGTACATATTTAGTGGGAAACTTGGAAGGAAGATCCGTCCAAGTAAACGATTTCTCCACATATGTCCAGAATTCTGTAGCACAAGCAGTTCATCAGAAAAGAAATATCAGCTCATATAGATGTTACTTTTTTTATATATACTGTTAACATTACTCAAATTGATGCTAATTCATTTTATTTTTCAAACTTGTGTAACAACAGAGCACCAATGGAACAGATGACACAATACATAATCTGACTCATAGCCAACGCTACATCCTTTCCAGGGACAACAGTAAGGTAATTGCTGATAGGTGTGACTATAACTAGGGAAGTAAAGTAGTTTAGATAAAAAGCATTGTGAACACCAGAATACATAAATGTCTAAGGATAACTGCATGCTGCCTAATATTCCTTCTAGGTAGTTGGTACATTGATAACTACGGTTGGATCTTTGAAAATATTGACATCATTTTTACACTTGTAACCAAAGACAAAGATATCCTTGTAGAAATATGTGCTAATAAATTAATGTATTCCACAATGAAGATTGTGTGCAAGTCATTAGTTCAACACGTCCAGGTAGTCGTGTGAGATTCAGGATATATAGGTGACAAAATCACCAAATCCAGAAAAGTACAGGCATAGCACAACATCATCATCCTAAAGGTTCTGGAAAAGCCTTGTGAATACACCCAATAACAAGTTGCTCCTCTAAAGATCACCCTCCATTTTTCTCTTTTTCAAAGTTTTAGTCTGTGATGATACTTAGTTGTATATCATATGTCATTTTTCAATAATATATGTGAAACTGAAAAGGGTTACAGGTTTTACCTTTCATTGACCAGATCTTAACAGTGTTATCCATTCCACAGCTAGCAATCCGATATATATCAGTAGGATGGAAGTCCTACAAACATCACAAACCAGCTGATATGCTTAAATACTGGTTCCCAGTTTTAGTAACAGATGTGAAAGACATTACTTTGCCACAAACTCCATCCTTGGAGTGGAACTGCAATTAACAGAGAAACTTACCACACTAAGTACTTCATTCCGATGACCTCCAGCACCAGCAAATACCAAAATGCATATTCCAGTATGAACATTCCACAAGCGAACAGATTCATCCTGTAACACTCGTGATAATTAAAATATGCCATGTGAAATAGTTGCAAAATTGATTGATACTCCACATACATCTTGCAACTGTGCAAATGTTTTTTTTCCAATAAAGAGGATCAAATATAATATTCCTTGCGGAGGAAGGAAATAGAGGAATACATAAGGTACATACTTTGCTGGCAGATAATACAAGAGATGGTTTCAAGGGTTGAGTCCTAATTTCATTTACTGAGTCTCCATGCCCCACAAAGCTCTGTTCAATCATAAGCAAGTAGATTAAAATAGATTAATAGACATATGATATTAAGTTAACATGTAACTAGCTTCAACTTTTAAGAGAAACTCTCTTTCAAGTTTGTATTGTTAATACAACTTAACATGGAACGAATCATGAAGGAATACTTAACTTGTTAATGTCATGATGAATAAGATGGATTGAATCATGGAAAAAGGAAATACTTTAGTTTTCAGATAAAGATTAATTAGATGGCTGTTAAAAACTCATGCAGATATTCATTTTTTATAACTAAAAGAGCAACTATTTTTGTTTGACCATGTAAAATGTGAATCAAAGATTTCAGGTCAAGACCTTGTGTATCTTCTCTTTCCCAGCATCAATAACACGAATAACTCCATTTATTCCACCAGCCACTAAGAATGGACTCCCATCAATATTGCAGGCCCAACTTACAGTGTAAAAGGATTCATCTTTCTGATTTACACAGCACATGGAAAAACCAAAAGTTTTTTAAGTATATGAGATAACATATGTACGGAACAGATGGAACAACTGTGTGCTTGCAACTTCTTACATCCTCATCAATATAAGACTGCAGCACAGCAATAACACCACCTTCGAGACACTGATATACAGTCACCTGACAAACAACCAGAAAATAAAGACACTAGTCAGGGTATCGACAATTGGAATACCGTAAAAACATATCCTAACTTCCTGAGGCTAGCACTATTCTTCTGTAGTTATCTTCTTTCAGGTCGGTTTTCTGAAACAACTCTCAGATGACATATCTAGACCAATAAAAGACACATCATTTACAAGAGCATGCACTTTTCCAAATTCTAAATTTATTTTTACATCATCCATAACTCTCAACTTAGATAAGAAATACAACAAGATATATAATAGCATAACTCCACACTGCTTAAGAGATTATATAAGATTACAATCCATACCCAATTCCGAGAATCATAACCTTTGACATGAACAATTTATAATAGTAAGGTAAACCATTAGGTAATTATTATCAATCTGTTAAATATGTGGCACTCCGCAAGTGTGGAGAAACATACAGAAACTGTCGATCATTACACCATATAACATAAGTTTGTACAAAGCTGGCTCACCCATCCTATGTCCTAACTACATAAAGACATTTTAGTTTGTGATGCATCAATGAATCTACCAAGATAAGCATAAGAGCAATTGTAGGAAACAAAAAGGGTCCTTGAACCATCAATCAACATTAAAGCAACTTGCAAGTCCAATTTTAGCACATTTCATCTGAAACAAGCAGCAGCTCAGCTAATATTGACCCCGAGGCATTTAAAAAAATAAGACGGACCAAGATAGAAAAAAAAAAAGGTAGATACTTCCTACCTAAATTGTACAAATTTTGAACTTCCATACTAATACATGAACCCAACAATCACAACAACAACAAGAACAACCCTTCAACCTCAAAAACCTGGGTCGTTTATACCTGTACCCATTAACCCGTTTCATTTCAGAACTCAAGACAAATGAATGAAAAAATTGAACTTCCATACCAATACATGAAGCCAATAATCACAAGAACAACAACGAAAAAAAAAAAAAAAAGAGCAACCCGTCAGCCTCAAACAATTGGGACAGTTACACCCATACCCGTCAACCCGTTTCATTCTAGAACTCAAGACAAATCCTAAAAGAATGAAAATTTCGAACTTTCATACTAATACATGAAGCCAACAACCACAATAACAACAACAACAGCAACCCATCAACCTCATACAATTGGGTCGTTCATACCCGTACCCGTTTACCCGTTTCATTGCAGAGCTCAAATTAGTAAAAGAAAAGTGTTATATTCCACAAATTCGAGTCAGCACAACAAACAAAATACAATTTTGACGAACCCCAAATGAAAAAACTCACTCGATTTCCGCCCACAGTAGCAAAGACATTGAAGTAGCGCGAATCAATGAAGTTGAAGACGACGCCATATAATGGGCGTTTGCCTTCTTGGAGTCTGTTCGTCACTCTATACTCCTTTTTTCTTGATGGCGTTAATGATCCAACAACAGGTTCACATCCTAGAGGTACTCTCGCCGCCATTGCTATCACTCTGCCAGAGCTTAGAGAGGAACGAAAAACTCTACATATTTACAGTGTCCCTAAAATATTTGTTAAAAAAAAAAACGTACGTGACATTTTTCTTTTTTTGGAATACTAAAGTAGAGCGTTTGGTCATATGACTTCATATTATGAGATGAAATTAACGTTTGTGACCTTATTCAAATTCTACAGAAAGCATAATTTGAGAATTTTAAATCATGATTTGGATTTTTTAAATACAAAATTGACTCATGATTTTATATTTTGCTAAAAATCCACTTTATTTTATATGTAAAAATAATAATTATAATTCATATCATTACTATTTAAACCATTTATATCTCATATGATTATTTTCATCAATATAAAATTTATTTTATTTTAAATTAATTCTTACTTTACAATTTATATTACCAAATTCATTATTTTTATCAAGTTTAAACTATTTCATTCAAATCAATGTTTGATAAAAAATAATTTACCATCATTAACAAATCATTGTGACATTAATTGAAAAAACAATTTTCTTTACTAACAACTTGAATACTATTAATGTTTGATCAATAAATATTGTATTTTTTAAAAATAATTTTGTGATAGTGTATATGCAATTTTATAATTTTTTGTTTATTAGGTAAAATTGTATAAGAAATTAGGATAATTTTAATAGTTTTATAACTTATGAGATTTTGCGTTTATGAGAAAACACATAATATAAGAAAGTCCAAATTGCATGTCAAAAACAAAACTTTCACTTCATCTCATGATTTCATATCACATGATCAAACTGGCCCTAAAAAAGAAAGCGTCTCACGTAAACTAGAATGGATGAAATATAATACTCCCTCTATTTATTTTATGTGACACTATTTCAGTAGGAGAATAAAGAGATTTTTAAAGTTAAATTATTTTTAATTAGAGTAGGTGATATTCTTCTATAATGAACTAAAAAGAAAATAGTATCACATAAAATGGGACAAAACAGATGTTGTATTCCGTCTGTATTAAAATACTTGTCGTATTTTATTTTTTCAAGAGTTAATTTAATAAATTATTAGTTTTAATTAAAGGTAGGTCAAACAAGTATATGGGAGAGCTCATTAGGCAGGACATGACGCATCTTCAGCTTATCGAAGACATGACCTTAGATAGGAGGGGTTGAAGATCGCGTACCAAGGATAGTTGGTTAGGAGGTACTAGAGAGTTATTTTTACTTTTCGAGGGTGTAGGCTTGTTGTTGTACTAGTTGTATTATTCTTGCTTATATCATCTATCATCATTTATTGTTTAATATGTATCGGCATTCCTTTCTTATCGACTTCGCACTGTTTTCTTTGTTAGTTACTTCTACATTGTTTTCTTCTTCTTTATATTTGAATTTGCTAAGATGAGGGTCTTTCGATAACAATTTCTTTACCTCCACAAGATAGTGATAAAATATGTGCATAATCTATCCCCTCAAACTCTATTTGTGAGATTTCACTACATATATTATTATTGTTGTTTACTATTTGCCAAAATTACACAAGAAATAGTATTAGTCGTACCTTTTTTCAATATCGAAACTAAACATGACAAGTATTTTGAGACAGGATCCCAGTTCAAGTAGCCTTGTCAAGATATTTAGCTCAATCTAGATATTCACTTATATCAAATATCAAATATTATTATTGACAACAAAAAGTAAATAGTACTACAATATAGACCTTATCAACTTTGTTGGAGAATTTAAAACAATGGCTTCTTCTTCAAATATTCTTCAACTCCACCATGTCCATCTTCTTCCTTCAATTCATCCAATTTCTTCCATAAAGCAGTTCACTATCAAATGCACTTCCAATTCATTACCTGAATCTTCTTCAGACCCAGAATTCCTGACCCCAAATTCAGAAACAACAATTAGCCCAGAAAAATTCCCAATAGAAAAACGTCGAAAATCCGAGATAATCCGTGAGAGAAAATCAAGAACTGAGCTCATAAAGCAAGACCCACCAAATTTCGAAATTGGGTGGAAGAGAACAAAGCCAATTCCATTAGATAAGCCAATTGGGTATGTGATAATGGATTTTTTGGAGAAATTGGAAGAGCTAATGGCTAGGGATTTTGGGTCGACGGCGTTGTTAGCGAAAGTGGGAGAAATAGTTGCAGAAAGAGCTAGGGAAGAAGCGGAAGTGTTGAAGGAAGAAGGGAAAGTGGAGGAGAGAATGGTGACGGAATTGTACAGAGTTTTGAAGCTTATGGAAATGGATTTAGCTATGGTGAGTGCTGCTGTGAAAGAAGAGACATTGAATGAAAGACTTGAACAAGCTAAAGCACGTTGTAGGCAAGCCATTCTTGTTGCTAATTCTTTTTGAGAGGTTTTTGCTTGTGGAAAGGTAGAATCTTTTTAACATTTGTACTGTATTTAAGTGTGTATTTTGTTATCAACTTGGGTTGTGATAATATGATTGTTGATCCTTCCATCTTTACTCGAGATTTTGGGTTCGAGTTCCAATGTAAGTATCAAACATCTATGGTAGGATGATTGTTAATCCTTCCAATTTTATTAAGAGATTTTGGATTCGAGTTCCAATGTAAGTACTGAACATCTATGATGATTGTTGATCCTTCCTTCTTTATTTAGAGATTTTGGATTTGAGTTCCAATGCAATTATCAAACATTTGGTGAAAACAAAAGTGTTATCTTTCATTTCCCATTGGTGGTGAAAATGAAAACAAAGGCCTTTGATATCCCTCTAGTTAGGAATTCTAAATTCATATTTAAATTAGTCAAATCAACCTTTCATAAAGAGCCTTTACCTCCTCTTGGTAGCAAACTCAAATGTGAGTTCTACCCTACTTCATTTATATATCTAACCTTCTTTTTAAATGTAGACATGGTCATCGTCACTTCGTAGATTTTTTTTTTTTTTTTGGCCAAAAGCTGAAATTTTCCTATTGTATTACAAAAAATCATCAATAGTCATTACATATTGGTTCAGATCATCTTTACTATCAAGGAGTACAATTGAAATGTACTTCCTAAATATAGTAAAATTTGTTCAAAGAGGCAACATCTTTGAGCAATAAAGAAAAGGATTATCAATTTCTTCCTTGTTGTTCTCCCTGATAGATTATTCGAACACCACGAAGCATTTTTTGAAGCATGTATGCGTAAAGCTTGTTAAACATCTCTGTGCTGCAGTTCATCTCTTTCTATGCCATGAAGAATATATGTTTCTCTTTCAAGGTCAGAAGGAACACCAACCTTTTTAGGCATGATTCCATGATACCAGAAGTCAAAAGAAGTGTCTTCTCTTGATCAACTTCCAACTTGCTGTTAATCCCAGGGAAACTTTAAAGCAGGACTTATATAGAGCTCTTACAAGGTACATGAAAACGAACGAGTTCTCAACACTAAAAGTTGTACATCTACATGAACTGCAAAATGTTGATCTCAAACAACTGCTGCACCCAAAAGAAAAAGGACGAAGAAGAGTGAGCACAAAGAGGAAGGGAAAAAAACGTAGCAGGAACAGAGACCGGCATGTTCAGAACCGAAGAATTTTCTAAATCCCCTACGAACTCCACTTTTCACATCTTGTAGCTCACATTCTTCCCAGTCTTCCTTTTTTTCTTTTTCCCTTTTGCGGGGGCAGACATTCCATGAGCTGTTTGACAAGCTTTGACTACACTGCAAACATGAATATCATCCCTTGGTATATTCTTGAGAATATTTTCTGCAGATTTGTAGTCCCCTAATGCCAACAAGGCTCGATACATCCTGCATCAAACAATGATTTTGAGCAAAGAAGGAAAACATAAAAGGACAAATCACATTCGTGACATCACAAGAATCCCAAGCCTAATAAGGTTATAATACTGCTAGTTTAAAGTGTAGTTGCTTCATATTTGTTGTGTTCTCAATAGCATGTTGATCCCAATAGTCATATAACACCATGTTACTTTGCAATTGAGCGAAAAGATTGCAGATTTTTGGCAGTGCTTTTTCCTTTAATTAAAAGGAGACTGGAAACTCCAACGGTGTTCTGCTTGAATAAGATTGGAGAAAAGAAAACTGATATATAACTTGAAAAGAAAAGGAAAGGGATGATTTGACTGTTGGCACACATGTCATAGGAGAACAAGATATCTTAACAAGAACCTTTTAGCATGCAACAAGAAGACCTACCTAACCATCACCACAAGTAAAAACTCCATAAAGCTCCCAATGTCTCTCATGGGTCTAGAACCTTAGACGATGGAACACAGAAGAGAGAGGACATAAAGCAGTCGAGAAGCATTGTTAGTTCGATGACTTTATTCTTTCTTACTTTTTTTCAACTTCAACTTTATGTTAGATTGTAGATATCGTTGACCTAGTTTTAAATGGCAAATGTTTTCTTTTTCATTTCACTCAAAATCAAGAAGGATACAAACAAACAAATATATGAAAATGCATTGGTCTAGCTTAATTATATCTTAGTGTTGAATGATTAATTAAGTGGTTTCTCAACAGATGCACCAAATGCATTGGTCTAGCTTAATCAATTATCAGTGTTGAATGATTAATTAAGTGATTTCTCAACAGATGCACTTGTAGAGAAATCAAAATAAAAAGATATGAGCAACTATCATGAATTTCCTTAGAACGGAATTTTCAGGCAAGCAAACAAGACTAAGAAACACTAGTTATTCGAAATTACCTCACATAACTTAAAATATTGTAAGGAAGACCAGCTATTTTGTACTCCTTCCAAATCAGATAACAAGCTTGTAAATCTTTGGCATTGACACAAGCACTGAGGAGGAAATCAAGACTTTGTCGTGAAGGGAGGAGACCGATCTCTTTCTTAATAGCCTGAAGGAGATCCAAGCCTAACTGTAAATTTATTGGGTCTTGTTCCGCAATCTGGCAGAAAACCTGCTCCATGATTACCAAATATGAATACCAAGCAATAAAACACATCAGAGCTAAATAAAGGCCTCATTATTAATGAGAACAATTTTGTCAAGTAAAA